CTTCCTTCCTTCCTTCCTTCCTTCCTTCCTTCCTTCCTTCCTGAGAGGGAGAAAGAACAAAAGAGCGAGAGGAGGAGAGAGGCAGAGGATCCAATGCAGGGCTCCAACTCACGAACTGTGAGATCGTGACCTGAGCTGAAGTCGGAATCTTAACCGACTGAGCCACCCAGGGGCCCCAGCAACTCCCGTTTTCACTAGCTCCTGGAAGAGTCACGTAGAACCACTGTAGGCACCAGCATCTTCAGCGAAGCAGTACACATCATAGGCACTGTAGGCACCAGCTGTCTCATCGTCGGCTCAGAATAGGGTTAAAAGCACGAGCTTTAGAGTCTGCGCTTTCTCAGATTTGAATCACAGCCCTGCCAACGTTTACTGTGAGGCCGGGGAAAGGCTCGCCTTCCCCATCTGTCTGAGGGGAAGGTGGTGGGGCCCTGACCTGGAACCATGCCGCACAGGCGGGCACTATTACCCACCCTCTTAAATCAAATGTGCTTCAAAAGACGGGCTTTTTAAAGACGCACACTTAAAAAGAGTGCGGGGGGAGAGGTTTGACAGGCAATTTATTTTGAAAATTTAGACTAAAACCTTTAAAAATGAGATTTTTCTCTTATAGTCCACACAGTCTAGGTTAGAATCACAACCCCATGCTAATTCTTAGAGGGGGAGAAAACCCCCAGTAATATGGGGCTGCATCACTTTATGACAAAATTGATGACAGTGCGATGGCATACCTCACTTCACGTTTGACCGTCATAGCTGGTCTTACATGAAGATGGGTATTTTTGCAAAAGTAATGAGGATTTCCCCCAAAGCCTCTCTTAACCTTTCAGTATCCTTAGCAGCTTTTTCAAAGTGGTAGCACCCTTGTGGATTTCATCTTTCTTAAATTATGGGCTGGTCGTTTCTGCCAGACCCTCGTTTGCTCACGACAGACACACAGGCGCCTTATGTCGCTTTTATGCGTTTCGTGAGCTCCCACATCTTTGGCAAGGTTTTCCAGTTCCACTTTGTAACTGATTTACAACGTCCTATTGGCTAGTTACAACGTCAGATGGTCAACAAGGCACCTGGACGATAGGTAAGGAGGCAATGGGTGTTGATCAAGAACAGATCCTGGAGCTGGACTGGTTTTCTGAGCCGTGAGCTGCTTGGTCAATATCTCGTGCTATGATGATGTTGTGTTCTTTTGCAACATGGAAAGGCCTCCTAGAATGAGTGCGCGCAGAGTTGAAGCCGCCCGCAAAGGGTCCGGCAAGGTGCCGAGGCACCGTGAGTTTTCCTCCCCTGGTGGGGGAAGCCGGTGGATCCGATGCCCGTCTCCCTCAAGCCAGCCCCAGGCTGAGCCCCTAAAGCCGGTCTTTCCCCCTGCCCCAGGTGAAGACTTTGTGGACATCCCAGAAAACTTCTTCGGGGTGGGTGGTGAGGAGGACATCACCATCCAGACAGTGACCTGGCCTGATGTGGAGCTGCCTCTGCCCCGAAACATCACCGAGGGTGAAGCCCGAGGCAACGTGATCCTTACTGTGAAACCCATCTTTGAAGTCTCCCCCACTATCCCGGAGCCCGAGGAGCCCTTCACGTTTGTCCCCGAAGTAGGGGCCACTGCCTTCCCTGAGGCTGAGAACAGGACTGGAGAGGCCACCAGGCCCTGGGGTGTCCCCGAGGAGTCCACGCCTGGCCTGGCCTTCACCGCCTTCACCAGCGAGGACCATGTGGTGCAGGTGACCGCAGTCCCAGGCGCCACCGAGGTTCCCGGGCGGCCACGATTGCCAGGGGGTAAGTGCCCGCCCCTCAGGGGGTCGCGTGGGGGCTAGGGGCAGGTGGAAAGAACTTGGCCTTAGGGATGTACCTTCAGCTTAACTTGAGACCTGGGCCAGGGCTTTCTCCTGTCAGACTCGGTTCTCCTTGTTTGTAAAAAAGGGGGATGGGCCAGAGTGGTGACGTCCACGCTTTTTTGCCACAGAGCATTTCCTTCGAATGAAGTTATAGGTAGAAACCAGACTATGTGTCAAGCAGGTAAAGATGCCACATGGGTCTGGGTGAAGTCGAATAAAGAACTGGGCCTCTTTTGTCCAGGGGTCCTTCTTGCGCCATCAGATACCCCCAAAGAACAGAGCCACTTGAGACCTTCTACAAAGGTGACCCCAGGGCTTCTCACAGCACTGGCCTTCCAGGACAGGGGTCAGCAAACCAAGTTCTGGCGGCCAAATCCAGCTTGCCACCTGTTTTTAAATTTTTTTTCAATGTGTTTTTATTTTATTACTTTGAGAGAGAGAGAGAGAGAGAGAGAGAGAGAGAGCAGGGGAGGGGCAGAGAGAGAGGGAGACACAGAATCCAAAGCAGGCTCCAGGCTCTGAGCTGTCAGCACAGAGCCTGATCCAGGGCTCAAACTCCCAGACCGGGAGATCACGACCTGAGCCGAAGTCGGACGCTTAACCAACTGAGCCACCCAGGCGCCCCGCCACCTATTTTTATAAGGCCCACAAACTAAGGATAGTTTTACAGTTTTAGATAGTCGGGGCACAAAGTCAAAATAAGAATAATACTCTAATATTCTGTGACGTATAACGAAAATTATATAGCATTCAAGATTTAATGTCCACAAATAACGTTTGATTGGACCAAAGCCACACCTATTTGTCCACGTGATGTCTGTGGCTAATTCAGGACTGTCATGGCAGAGTTGAGTAGTTGTGACAGAAACCATTGAAGCCATGAAGAGTGAAATGTGTCCTGTCTGGCCCTTTCCAGAAAATGTCGGCCAACCCCTGATCTAGGATGATGGTGTTCCAGGTGTTTAAGGAATGTCTGGAGACTTTGGATGTCATGTCACATAGGGCTCAGCTGTTCCCCATACTCCAATCCAAGAACCAGAAGGACATTCTGGGGTGGCTTTCCTAAGGGCCTTGGTGGTGTCCCCTCCTGGGGGAAGAGCAAATAGTCACTGTCTTCCACCATCACACACATGATGCCACCAAGCAGGATTTCAGCCTGAATTGCCCAGAGAAATACAATATGTTGGGAAGGAGAAATTGTTTGGAAGTTCTGGGGGTAACGCCAGCAATGGCCGGGTCTGAGGGTTGGCCCGGGACTGGGAAGAGCCCCACTGGCCACCATGTGAGAAGGTGCCAATGGACGGATGGGCACCTGCCACAGGACAGAGGATGTGGGATTTGCAGTTGTGATATAACCTGGCTGATCACCCAGGGAAGTGTCAAAAGCAAATGTGTGTGCGGCTGGATACAACAGGAAAGGCTGAGTAAATGGGGGGCTCAAGGACAGGGCCCCTTTGGGCACCTGGCCAAAGCCATGAGGACACTCCCCAGAATGTGCCCGGTGCACACCCACAAAAACTCTCACAGCCACTTTCAGAGAGGCCGCCCACCCCCCAGCCCCTGGGCCAAGTGGAAGAGATGCTAATGGTTGATGTATTCCTTAGCCTTTTCTGTATTTTCCGAATGTTCTTAATGAACGTGTATTCTTTTTGTCATGAGAAAAAAATGCGTTTGTTTTAAAGGGTAAAGGGACAAATGAGCAGTCTGGGAGTGAGGGGCCCAAAGAGGAAGGTTGGGGACACCCAGGGCAGAAGAGTCATCAAAGGCTTTCTCAGGGAGATGGAGTTCAGGAGCAGCTTGAACAAGCAGAGGGAACCAGCTTGGTTGAGAAGAGGATCAGAAGCAGGAAAGGAAAGAGGGGGTGAAGGGAAGTCACTCCTCAAGGAGCCAGAGCTCCCTCCACGCCCTCAAAGCCATGAGGACCCGCCCCATGGGCACCAGCATGCTGGTATCTAGTCCCTGCCCTGAGCCTACCTCGTCTCTCCTTCCCTTCCCCACCCAGGGGTTGTGTTCCACTACCGGCCAGGCTCTGCCCGCTACGCCCTGACGTTTGCGGAGGCTCAGCAGGCTTGCCTGCGCACCGGGGCAGTGATCGCCTCCCCGGAGCAGCTCCAGGCCGCCTATGAAGCAGGCTACGAGCAGTGTGATGCTGGCTGGCTGCAAGACCAGACTGTCAGGTGAGGGATGAGCCCAGCCCCGCTTCCAGCCCAGAACCGTGAGGGGTCGGGCTTGGGGAGCCAGAACCTGTCACAGCACCCAGTATTGCACAATGCACTGTGCAATAATGAATGAATTCATGACTCCATGGCCGCTCCCCTAATTTCTCCCCCAGAACCAAGGCGTATTATCCTGAGTCGGTGGCGAAGGGCCCCAGGTGACATTAAGTCCTTGGTCATTTACCCCCAAGGAACAGGGAGGGAGAATCTCTCCTCAG